ACATGTCATGCAAACAATAAACTATGCTTTTAACCACAGCTCGAGAGCTGTCGTTCCAACCACACAACTTGAAATGCTGGTTGCGAATGTTCGTTGGAACTATGTTTTCGGGAAACACCGGCTCGTTGAACTATGCTGATAACGACAGAACTTGCGACTATAGTTGACGCACCCCTGGTCTGGTTGCCTGTGACACCAAATAAACTCTCAAAATGTGAAAGATGGCAACCGAATCAGAGGTAATGGTATAAACAACTACACTCTGATTTGAAGATTTTTAAAAAAGGATCTTTTGAATGTTTACAAAGTCTAGGGCTTTCACAGAGACGGATGTAATATCAGTGATAAACTGTATGCTGCTGTAGATTGTGTGCGTGGCATTCTAAAAACTCGCTTACAGCACATTTCATTTACTAAGGTGTTGAAGCTTCACAGACTTAAGGAAGTTATTTCCTTTGAACGTCTGTTGACCCTGCTATGAGCACAAGCCTCAGAGTGCATTTTGACACGTCTGACAAGTAAATTGTCTCCTGCTTTATTGTGTGCTATTGTTATATCCATTATTGCTCTCGGAATATGTCTCTGAATTTCAGGTTATTGTTCTTCATATAATCATGAGTTGACATTTTCAACAATTCTCTCTCGTTCTCAGTGATATTAAGTGACTAAAAGACATGAAAAAAATACCTTTTAAATAGAATGTGAATTTCCTGCCTTAATAATTCTTTTCCGGAGCAGTTGAAATTAATTTAAGATCCAAAAACATATTCACAGGACTGCATCTGAATAAACATCCGAGTCATTTTCCTCTTATTTTGTTGTGTTTAATCATCTGGTGTGAATTATATCTCTCTGTGTTCACATCCACTAATGTTGGTTTTGTCACCACACATTTGTAGGCTATTTCGGAGAGGCTAGCAAAAGTAAGCTAGCCTTGAACGTATTAGATCCCACCCTCCCGGTCTGAGCGTGATGGCCTATGGAGGACTGCTGACAGCTGCCATTGACGAATGGAAATAATGTTTGTGTTGTACTTTTTTGAAAGCTTTTTGAATTTTTTTGTAATCCGACAATTTCTCTCTCTCTCAAAAAAAAACCTGTCATCACCGGCGTGCAATAAATTCTGGGGTATCGTCGGTCACGAAGGATCCATCTGTTGTATGCTTTATTTCACGGAAAATGAAGGATCATTTGGAGGCTTCATTTGAAGGAGCCTTCGAATTGAGACAGCCTTCATTTCGCGACTGTGACGCAGGATGGAGCCTCTGAATTGACACAGCTATAGTCAGTAGAATGTTTGTTGAGGAGCATCAAAATAAAGTGTTAGCAGATATTAAGCAGACAGTCTATTAATACTCTAACGAGAGCTAGTTGACATGTGGTTGCAAAGGTACTTGTAGTCAGTAAAATTTCTAAAGTGGACCATCGAAATAAAGTGTTACCCCAGGGTGTAAGGAACATCATTTTGGTCTTCTAGTACACACAAACTTTGCTGGTCAGAGTCAAGAGTCAAGGGGTTACAATTGATCATTTACTATAAATATACCTTTGGAAAGTACAACTTCTGGTTAGTCAGTATTGTGATAAAAAGTGGATACAAAAAGATTTCCATTCTGCATCCCTTGAAGTAAAATCAATACTTATAAAATAAAAAAGAGGATCACCCAGCTGTGTCTTTATTTATTAGCATGATGTCCTTAAATGATTGTGCATGAGGAAGACTTTTGAGGTAGGACACCAAGAGACCAATGACATCAGTGGGTGAAACTGGAGATACTTTTACTGGGGTAATTCACAGCTTTATGGACAGTGCCAAAAATAGTCACTGTTAAAAAAGAACATGACATCTTTGGTTATACAGTTTGGAGAGGAGGAATGAGGGAGACTCTGAAGCCAGATGAAAGATTATATCATCTGATGAGACCAACATCGTTTGGTGGTGTAAGCCAATCACTGGACCTCATCAGAAACACACCATCCCTTGAGTTGGGACATTCATTGATCCTCTGCTACTGTTACGGCTTCCAGTCCCGCTGTCTCTAACAGTAACTGGCAACGAACGTCCTCGCCCAAATACTAATGTCTCAAGAACTACAAATCCTATTATACATCACCCACGCACTGAATGCCTTCCACCTGTGTCTAATGATTGCCTTCCACCTGTGTCTAATGATCACCTGTCTAGCCTATATCAGCGGTTCTCAAAGTGTGGGGCGCGCCCCACTGGTGGGGAATAGAGACGTGACAGGTGGGGCGCGCCAAACGGGAGGAAATTTTCCTTTTTATGCCTTTATATCTTTATCCAGACATCCCAAATGTCCCGGAAGTTCCGGGAGTCTCCCGCATATTGATAGCGGCTCCTTGACGCCCGCAAATGAGATCCAATCTCCCGGAATCTGGAGCAAGACCGCGCACTAGAGTAGAGAGTGACTGCGCGTGTGTGTGTGACTATTAATGCAGCGCGTGTGAGAGCAAACCGTCCTTATAGCTGTGTGTTGCCGCTTATTAGACCGATCACCCCCGGGGGCGACAACAAGTAACAGGAATTCCCCACCCCCAAAATAATGATTGACGTGACGTCGGCATATTAATTGTAGCGGAACAAACTTTTGCGCCCATAGATATGTAGCCTATGTTTCGCGGCGATGGGTAGCTGGAAGCTGTTTCATGCGTAAGTGGGGGCTGATGGCTGGGTTGGAAAATATGTGACGTCATTATGTTGTGGCTTACTACAAGACATGAAATTTCTCTGAACATTGAACATGATTTGAGGGTGGCAGTATCAAGCCTGCAACCCTGCTTTGAGAAATTGTGCAATGCAAAACAGGCTCATTGCAGTCACTAATGCAGGGATAAATAGACCTGTCTTGCCAAATGGATTTCTCTTCTTTTCTTTTTTTAACAGATTGCAAAGTGGCACTTTTATTTCTTTTCTATTTTTTGAGGCACTTTTATTTTTTATTTTTGAATTTCATGCAAGTTATGACACAGATGCACTTCATTTTCTTTATTTTTGAACTTGCTGTTATTTGATGTAGATTGTTAGTTTGTATTTAGATACAACTGGTTACTATACTGATACTACTTGTTACTTCAATAAATTGGAACATTTTAAGCTTGTTACGCATTTCATTAGCATTGTGTCGGGGCGATGGGGGCAGGTGGGGCTTGAAAATTCCCCCTTGTCCAAAGTGGGGAATGACCGAAAAAGTTTGAGAACCACTGGCCTATATCAACCATGCCCACGGCTCACTTGGTGCGAAGTATTGTTTCACAGTTGTGCTGCATGTCCAAGCCTTTTTCCTGGAAGCTTTCCTGACTCTACCCCTTGCTATTCTAGATCTCCGTGTTTGTCAGCCGCCTGCCTATTGACCCTCTGCCTGTCCCTGGATTCTGTTGGTTTGCTGCCCGCCCATCGATCCCCTGCCTGGCTTACTTCACGTTTCTGCACGCCCCACTACAGTTTAAGCTGTTTTGACTCCTGTTAAGCGACTTTAATAAACGTTGTTGCAAATGGACCTGACTCCGACTTCTGAATCACAACAGCTACGGTATTATACCCATTGACATTTTGTTTTATTTTAGAATGTGTTACTGTAGTTCACCGTGTATGTTTCAATTAAATTCTGAGGAGCCAGTACATTTACCAATTAAAGTACCAATTCGGATGAACACTGAAAGGCACATTAATGTTGGAATTGGGCCGTGTCTGTTTAATTTTCTGATTATTTCTATACAGACTCCAAGGAATTTAAGCACACATTGCTGTTTCATTCTAACCACAGGTTCCTTATCAAGTGAAACAACATCATAAACTGATGTGCACAGCTTATGAAAATAACATAAAGCCAGGAGGGTGAGTGATGAGGCATGTAGGTTTGAACACACGCTGAGTCCTGCACTGTACCAGCTGGTCAGTGCGAGTAATCTCTATAATTAGATCCGCCAGCAACACACCAACCACTGATAGATTAAGGTGGTACTGTGTGGAATTAACTGTATTAGCTCCTCAATGTTCCTTCACAGCTCTTTCAAAAAGTGAATTTTTCCTCAGCATGAACACAACCAATAGACATGAATTACTTTCAAAAACTCCAAACAAGTTTAATGTTGCACTTTCATTTAGATAATGGATAAATAATAATGCCCTGTTGCTAAATGCACAACCCAGAGGAAAATTTTACTGCTCAAAGCTTGCTTTTCTATAGCTCAGGAGACAAATTTGAGATTCTCATCTAAGCCTTATTTTAATCTCTATTTTGTCTAAAATGTTTCTCATATGTTTCTCCTAAAATTCACTAGGAGCAATAGGTGAGACAGAGGAAAATTTTACTGCTCAGAGCTTGCTTTTAGGAGACAAATTTGAGATTCTCATCTAAGCCTCATTTTAATCTCTATTTTGTCTAAAATGTTTCTCATTTGTTTCTCCTAAAATTCACTAGGTGAGACAGAATAATCAGAGGGAGTCATACCTGAGACTAAAAGGAGATGCCTTGCTAATCTCAATTCGGTGTTTTTAATGACTCCTTTATTTCTCCTTTGAAAAAGAAAATGAGCAATACTGGAGCTACTATGGAGCAATATCCGAGTCTCTCGCTCACTCTCCCTCTCATGCACACACACACGCACATGAATTACTAATTCAATCATATGACCTTTTCCTCCTACCAGACTAGATTCACCATTCTAAACAACACAGATCATTCACTAACATCTTGATGGACCAAAGAAACAACGGACGGGAATGCTACTCTCTCTTCACTGCAGGACAGACAGAAGATCATCCACAACCATCAGGCTTTAAAAATCTATAGCAAATGGCAGATTAGCTGATGTAATAAAGAAATAAAGAAATTTGAATCTGAATCTTTATTTAAATCAAAATAACATTAACAAATTTAAAGACATTTTAAAGACAGCAAAAACTGTTTAAACATGGTCATTACAAAACTAAAGTGCTTTTTTTTGTGTGTAAAATTCTGTTTTTAAAACAGTAACAATTTTAACAATGTTATGAGCAGTGGCAGGCCAGGTTTACAACAATTCACAACAATAAACTTGAGTCTCTGACGCCAACATACATAATTTGAAAACAAGGACTTTTTGTGAACATTGTCATTTCAACAAATGTCTCTGTGTGCCCCATCCGATATTTACAGTGTTGTGGCCCTGATGCGGCATTTGTTTATGAAGGCTTTTTTGACCTTACTTTTCTCAACCGGTGTCCAACCATCCAGTGTACTACAGCGCATGACGTAAGCTGCAAGAATAAAAGAAAAGAAAGCACAAATTACAGATTGCATTGAGTAACCGCAGTTACCACAACAGTATTAACAACTTTTTTCATCCTGATACGACAAAATTCACATTGTAATATCTCTATGGATCACACATAAGGAAATGCAGCAAAACTGTGAGGACAGTGAAACAATCATAACATTTAACATAGCTATGTGATATATGGGTATCCAACACCTCTTATTGGGTTCCCACACATTTTTTACCTATGAATTTTCACAACTTTTTCCACAAATTGTTAACAACCACATGAGCAACATACTTACTTAGAATTGCATTGACTTTGAACTTATCCAGGACTCTCTTCCCATCTGGCACCTTTCCGTGTTTCCCAAATGCCACAGCATTCTGGCACTCCTCTGCAGTAAAGAATTCATCAAAAAGAAGATGGAACAAGCGAAGGCAGTCCTTCTTTGCGGCTGCATGGATTGCAGCCAGGTGAGTCGAGGACAAGAAGAGGCCACTTCCTGGATATAGCTCCTGCTGCCGAGATCTGCCTTTTGGAGCCCAAACACCAGCCTGAGGTTGGATCTGTTCCACTTTGTCCAGAAAACTTCTGAATGCCTCGAGGTGCTCACCACCTGTGACACAAAAGATGTAAATTACCTTACAGGGACACAGCAGCATTCATAAAGTAAAAAATATATATAAAAAAGACAAGTTTTTAAAAAGTCCAAAAGATTTCATGATTGGATAAGAGTTTTACCAAATTGTTTAAAGCTTTTAAGATTTAGCTTAAGCATCAAATAACTCCCAATGTCCAAAGTAGTAAGACAATGTAGTAGAACTTTAAACATATACCAATATAAAAACATAATTACAATTTTGTTGCACAATTTAATACACTAGATTATTACCCACGTTTTTTTTTTTACACAACTCTTCTGAATAGATATTAGGTGTGTTAGAAAAACTGTGAGAGAAAAAAAAAGAAGTGTTAAAAGAACAAGTAATTGCAACAGAGAGACAAAACATACTTACTTATACCACACAGCACATCATGCAGTTTGGCCTTTTCCTCCACTAATTTTTCCACCTCTGTCTTGCATGCTTCGCATGGCTTCCATGATCTGTCTTCTGCTGACTCAGGCGAAATGAAACATGGTTCTCCATATTCTGGAATTGGATCACGCTCGATGATTAAAGTATCTGCAGATGAGCTTGAAGAAGTCTCATGTTCAGAGGTGCTTGTCTGGCTCTGGTCCCCAAGAACAGCAGGTTTTTTAAGTGTATTAGGACTGTGCAACATTTTGAGGAAGCTTTCTTTGGCTGTAGGAGCTGGTGGCTGTCTTTGCTGATCCAAATCTGCCAAAACAGGCTGCTGTTGTGTTTGGTCTGAAGGTGTGGGTAGTGCTGTGTGAGGCTGGTGATGCTTTGAATACTGCAAAAGGCTGGAATTGTGTGGAATTGAAGACAGAGTAGTTCCATACTGGTTGAGCGACTGGACTGGTGAATGCTGGTAATGTTGTGGCGTATTTGGTGATGACTGGGAAACTGGAAGTTGGTACTGTGGCCAGGCAGTTGCATGCTGGTGCTGTGGCTGGACAGGTAGAAATGACTCTGTAGGTGGAGGCTGGTACACTGGCCAGGTTGTTGGAGGCTGAATGACATTTTGGTCCACAGTATTTGGGTGATCCTGTGCAGAGGTGGACTGGCCTGCTTGAGGTAGGAATGGAAGGTTGTAGAATCTTTGTGCAGCTGCATCTCTTTTTTTCATGTCCTTCTTTGTCGCCTTCTTGGTATCCACCGTTTTGTCAGCTGTTCCAATGAAGTCTACTGTAGCATTGTAGAACTTATTGTCAGACCATCTTGCAAGTACTTTTTCTCCTGGTGTCAGATCTCTAAAGCAAGCGATGGGTTTATCATCTTTGTTTAGAATATCACAGAGATTAAAAATCTTTGCTGTGTATCCATCTTCAAAGGTCAAAAATACAAAAAGTCCTGAAAATGAACACAAAGTAAACAAAAAGGAGATTGTGAGTAAATCAGTGCAGGCTAAAAATCAATCTTACTTAAACATGCTACTATATCTTTATTGTCTTATTTCTAACCCTCTTAGCAAAGCAACAAAATTCCCTCTTCACTTTAGCCTTCAACTAGGATTAACTTTATTCGTTTAGCACTTTCAAATTTATTCGCTCCTGCAACTCTTTGATTTATGCACTCTCTATTCTATTTTTTCAATGTCTTCATTATTTAATTATCACACATTTTATTTATTTTACACATTGTCTATGAAGAGTATGGCGCAGGACTATTTTTTTGTAAAGAACATTGAGCTGCATTCCTATACAAATTATTTTATCCCTTAAATTTTTAGATGATTCGCAAAATTCAGTCACTAAAATGTACAAATAAGTTGCACTCCTTTTTCATGACATTCCATTAAAAATTCCTGTAGGCTATAATCAATATTGTGCAAATATACAGTATACAGTATTTATAAAATAAATGTATATATTGTGCCAATATACAGTATTTATAAAAATTCCAGGAGACCAAATACTGACGAATATTTTGGTTAGTAAAGTGTCCAAAGTACGTTAAAAAATAACCACTTAAACCAGTTTTAATACTTAACAAAATTAGCTAAGCCATAGTATAGTAAAATAACTGAATTACCATCTTGGTTATCTCTGGGGGAGCTGTCTGGTTCATACAAACTCATCTTTTTCGGAGGGTTTCGCGCTCTTCTGGGCAGTGTTGTATTAGCTGCACTCATTCTGTAAAATAAACAAAAGTACAACACATCTAATTATTGGGGTCTCACTGCACGAGATCAAATTTTTCCAATCATACACAATTTATGTAACTTCAAGAATGTATAGGCCTCGCTGAATGTAGAAATATATAAATATATTTTTTTACATAAAGATGTTTATTGCAGAAAGTTACCATGGCCTTCCTAGCAAGCCAACTATTTGCTACAAAATACGACCAGTTTCTTCAGAGCTGTATTGCACTCACTCATTGTATCCGAACCCGGATACACTCGCCATTTAAAATGTAACGTTACATAAATTCTGTTTAAAAAAAACATGTTGCTTACCTTCTTTTGAGTCCCGCAACTGTTTTTTCCTCCATTCCGTCTGCCTCCAACTCATACGTTAGTCGTTAACTAACGCGCGCCTTAACCTCGTTGATTCAGCAGCGCCCCTCCACTGTGAATTAACCAATGACGATGCAGCAGCGCCCCTCCAATGTGAATTAACCAATGACGATGCAGCATTTGTGACTGATGGCGCTCTCTTCTAATGCCGACGTAGGGGCTGCATCATCTACAAGGTTCAAGGTTCACAGTGTTTTTGCGCCAACTGAAGCTCAAAAAAGAAAACAAAGGTGGCGGTGCAGCATCTATAAGCGGTGAGTGGATACAGCGACTTTTTAATAATAGAATAAACTTTGTGTTTTCTTTGTAATTTAAGGTTTTTGACATTATCTTTTAGTACTTGATTTTTTATTTTTACATTAAAAAAATCAAGTTTTATTTTTATTTCAGTTAACTGAAATAGTTCTTACACGCCCATTATTTCAGTGTCATATAATTTTGTTTTCATTTACTGCAATAACCTTGTGAAACCCTAATAATGAAATGGTTAAAATAAGTGATTGTCACATGAGTTTTCACTTGTGCATTCTGTACCAGCTAATAAATGTTACAACTGCGATCATTTTCATTATTATCATAATTTAGTCAATGTTAATCAATTTCTATTTAATAGGAAAGGTTGCACGTGTGTATAATTGTTCATTTAATGTAACCCTTTTCAGTCTGAATAAATTTAATATATTTTGTGCCATTTTATGAACTAACTGTACCTTTTTTTTCTGTCAACCACAGGTTATTTTCCCTGCAGCCCCTGACACCAGTCAATATTGCTCTTCCATAGAGGTTACTGATACATTTGATAGAAGGGGGGGTAAGTGTAACACTATTTGTATTAGACTGCACTGTCTATACCACCATCATCAAAGAAGAGCATCTTCTTTATTTTTGTGTGTGTGTGTGTGTGTGTGTGTGTGTGTGTATTATACAGTTGGAGCTACATATATATATTTTTTAAAAATGGCGCAGAAGTACAACTCACGCTGGAGGAGAAAGGTGAAGAGCCAGCAAAATACTTGCAAAAGATACAGAAGAAAGGTTGGGAAATTTACATTTTATTGTTTTTATATTGTCATCTGCAGTGATTGAATATAAGCACATTCAAGCATATGCACAAGTAAGTTCTGTATTTACGTACCATTTGATGTGTTGGTACTTAACTTGCCACTTGATATTTCCACTCCACTACATTTTAGGGAAAAATAATATTTTAATGTTTACTACACTACATTTATCTGATAACTATAGTTTCCATTTGCTTTACAGATTACATGAAGCTTCAGAGTCAAAACAGCACATTTTTAGATTAATTTACATGAATGACTTAACTGATTCAGGTCAATAACAAATCTGATAATTGGCCAGGACATAATCAACCAACCCATACATGTAAATATTATGTAATTTACTTACACTTTTGAAACTGAAGAGCATTTACTGTGATATCATATACTTTAATACTTCTACTAAAGTCTTTTTCATCTGGGTAACTAGCTTTTACCAAAGTCATATTTTAACAACTTCCCTTTTACTGAAGTGTGACTTTCAGGTAGTTTATAAAAAGAAAAAAACATTTAGCTGCTATGTTCTTTACTCAGCTACATTTCATCAGCTCCATTGGTTCTGACAATGTTCCTCAATAATTTTATATAACAATAAATATTGGTTTGAAATGACAGTCTGTTAAGATCACCTTTATATGTGGGATTAGCAAAATATTAAGAACATGACCTAGTAGTGTTCAGCACTACAAAGTACAGTTTTCAAAATGGCCATCCAAGTAAATAATCACCTCTTTTAAACAGATCCAATAAAATGTTAATATTTTAATCCCCATGAGGGGAGAATTTATAGCAGGATTTCCTACAGTATATACTGCATTGTTGTAACCTACGTATGTCTTATAAATTTGCATGCGAGTGTTAAATATGCTTAATGTATTATCATTCTCGGTTTTCTGCAGGACACACAAGGACAGGAAAATAGAGGTAAAACATGTGCAAAAATGTAAAACAACTAACTCCATTTCCTTCAGTCTCCAAGATGGCATGTAGTTTATTTATTCTGTGGAAATCGCATGTTGCAAAGCTTTAAATTTTGATCGACTGGAGCGTTAATTCAAATAAAAGTTAATGTGTCCAATAAAACACTGTTACTGAAGTGAGACCTTCAAACCTCACTTGGGTTGTCAAGGGTTTACTGACAGCTCAGGTGATTATTATAACACTTTAATAGTCTAGTAATTAATTAGTAATGTGTTTAGCATAAGTATAATGAAAAATAAACATGTTGAGACTAGTAAGCCATAAATTCACCAATCAAGTAAAAGCAAATTAATCAATTGATTTTTTTTCTCCTAGAAGCAACAAACTGGAGGTCAGATGATTGCAGCACCGAGCAAGTGACCAGATCTGCTAATTTGGAAGACTCTTCAAACACAAATGTGTGTAACATCCATTACGCCAACCATTCATCCCAGTGCTATGGACACACAAGTGAGATGCATCACTCTGGTCTTAATGTTGAATCAGAGCCTGAACAGCCTATTTACATGGATACATTTCCTGAGCACCTACCTGAATTTGTTGAAGAAGGGACTTTAGATGACAATGGGTTATTTGATGAAGACTTTTCAATTGATGATGACTTATCATTTGAAGACAGTTTTGAGCTTAACCAAGAGGAGGGAACAGAACTCGAAAGCTCTACAAACACTGTAGATCCACTGTACAGAAATGCACCAATTTCTGTTGCAGAGAGTCTTCTCCTCATAATGACTTTTGCAAACAGACACAAAATAACAGGAAAAGCTCTCAGTGATTTGCTTACATTAATATCTCTGCACTGCCCCTCTGATACACAGACTGAGTGTCTTAAAAATTTACACAAATTTAAACAGTTTTTTGATGATCCCTCCTCTCTGCTTTTGCACAAATATTGTAGCTCATGCTTCATGATTGTTGAGAGTACAGACACCCAGTGTAAAACCTGTGAAGCCAATGTGTTGATGGAGGGGTCAACCTCCTATTTCATTGAGGTTCCCATTGAAGCACAACTGAAGAGATTGTTTGCTCAGGAAGGTTTTGAAGAAAAACTTAAGTTCAGGTTTAATAGACATAAAAAGTGTCATGACAGTATTGAAGAAATATATGACGGAAAAACCTATCAGAAATTGACTACTTGCAATGGGCCTCTCAGTGATTCCAGAAACATTTCGTTAATGTGGAACACAGACGGTATACCTATTTTTAAGTCTTCAAAGTTTTCTGTTTGGCCTTTTTATTGTGTCATAAACGAGTTAAATTTTGTTGAACGCACGAAACGAGAAAACATGATATTTGCAGGTGTTTGGTTTGGGGATTCAAAGCCGTCAATGTTGACATTCCTTGAACCACTGTGTGGCACTCTGAACAAAATTGAAAGAGAAGGAATTTCTCTTCAGTTTGCAGGAGCTCAAGAACCTTTCATTTGCAAAGCCTTTACCATTGCAGGAACCTGCGATTTGCCTGCAAAAGCTTTGGTACTTAATACTGTTCAATTCAATGGACATTTTGGGTGTCTAAAGTGTGAACAGCCAGGTCAAACAGTGAAGACTGGAGAGAGAGGTCATGTCCATGCCTTTCCTTTCCAGAAGACAGATCCAAAAGGCCCGCCTCGTACTCACAAGGGGTTTGTAGATTATGCTAAGATGGCCTATGATTCCAACAGCGTTGTTCGTGGGGTGAAGGGACCTACGTTTCTCAGCAGACTAACAAGCTATGATTTGGTCTTGGGCACAGGTATAGACTACATGCATTCTGTACTACTGGGAGTAATGCGTCTATTGATGTTTTTGTGGTTTTCCACAGAGTTCT